AGATTTATATTCGAAAGATTTTTATTTGAAAAAAATACTTATATGTGAAAGATTTATATTTGAACGACTTGATTAATTGGTAGTACTTGTGTTCCTTATTCGTTTGAGCAATAATTATGGTGTTCTTGTTGCCTCGCTGTTTATATCACTGGTTGATTTTTGTTGCTATCATTGCTAGTTGTTTTCCAGTACTATTGTATATTGCTATATTGCACATATTATTTGACTAGTGAGTATCTTGACTGTACCTCGTCACTACTCCACCAAGGTTAGTCTTGATACTTACTGGGTACCGACTGTGGTGTACTCATACTACACATCTGTATATTTTTGTGCAGAGCCAGATATTGGAGATATCGGACTCGGACAGAGTTAGAGTGTGATCGCAAGAATTCAAGGTAGGGTTTCTTGGCCGTCGCAGTCCCTTGGAGTCTTTCGATTTTATTGTACTATTAATTTCTTTTTCGAACAGTATTGTATATTCGATCCTCGAGATCATTCCATGTATTCAGTTAAAGTTCGTGACTCTGTATTATCAGTCTTGCGAGGTTATTATATCTGTTTCCGCTTTTGGTTTCAGAACTTGTATTAAATTATTGACTACAAAATTAAAAAAAAATGGCTTGAATTGTAATTGTAACCGACTTACCCAGTCTTAGAGACTAAGTGCCATCACGACGTATGTAGTGAAATTTTGGGTCGTGACATATCTATACTATATTAAAAGCACGAACTCCTTTAACAAAATATCGTTCACCTTTTTTACCCTTTAAAATGAATTTTATATTAAACGAAATCGTAATTAAATTAGTTTCATAATATTTAGGAGATTGAAATTAACTAAAAGTTTACTTACTGAATCTTTTTTTTATTTGAACTATTATATAGTACGTCCTAATATTAAGGGCTTTAAAGTCAATTAAAAATTTACCTTATATAAACTATCTTATTATTTGAACAAACTGGTAAATTCGATAATAATAAAGGTAATTACCCAATACTTAAAGGTTTGAATATACTTGGGACAAAGTGTGCTTACCTCAAGCAGCTGGAGGATTGAATGTATTGAATCTATGTATATGGAACAAGGCTGCAATCATAACGCAGTTATGGTCAATTGCACAAAAAAAGGATTGCCTCTGAATAAAATGGGTACACTGCTACTACATCAAGAAGCAAGCTCTTGACTCATGCCTTATACCTAAGACATCAGCTTGGGTAGTTAGGAAGATTATGGAAACTCGAAATATTGTTATAACAGGTTATGGTACAATATGGCTTACTTGCAAAGTTAGGATCAATGCGGAACATGAATGACTCTTTCTCGATTAAAAAGATGTACCTACACTTGATACCTCAGCCCCCAAAGTCTCCTGGAAAAGCCTTACACTGCGGCAAAACATCCATCCACGAGTGAAATTTATCATATGGTTAGCAATGCAAAACAGGCTGGCAACTGTGGATCGACGACTGATGATAGGCATACAAGCTCCTATGGCTTGTGTATTCTGTCATGGTGGCATTGAAACTCATGCACATCTATTCTTTAAATGCCAAGTTACATGTGCATTGTGGCTGAGATTACTGACCTGGCTTTGGGCATATCAGGAACAGAGGTGATGCCAAACATGAATTGCAATGGGTATGCAGTATGGCCAAGAGGAAGAATGGACTGAGAGCTATTACCAGTTGTGCATATGCAATGGCAGTCTATGTCATATGGAGGGAGAGGAATCTACTAAGGTTCCAGAAGAGCACCTATGATGAAGATAGAGTCAATAGAGAAATAGCAGTACATATTCATATTAGAGGACAAAACCTTAAGAAATGGCGCAATCCTTTGAGTCTTTCATACCCTTAGTGAAATAGCTGAACATTATCTTGATTTCCTATTGTTAGTATAGCTAAGCTAGGAACTGTTAGATGTAATTAGGAGTGCAAGAGGCCGGCTTTTGCGTGAAGTCTGTAAATGATACTTTTTTTGGTTAATAAACAAGCCATTTACCCAAAAAAAAAAAAAATTAAAGGTTTTAAAAATAAAATAAAACGACAAAAGTACGTCAAATTATCAAAGACGACATATGGACAAACAATTTTGTAGTGAAGATGAAATTGGATACAACATCTTGGATTTAAAACTTATGCAAAGTTTACCTTCATGTATGCTACTTGAATGCTTTTTTCCCCTTTTTTTATAGTCATGTTCGTTGACAGTTCAAATAACTTTACACTATTAAAATAAAAAATAATATTGGAAGTCATTTAATTTTCTCTAATAACTGAAATTCTAACATCAACTAAAACTTTGCTTACTCAATGTTTTTATTGGAAATATTATATAGAAAATCCTAATATTTAGATTTATTATTTACACAAATAGATATATCTGGCAAACACAAATCCATAGGAACAAGTAAGAATGTGGATATTGTTTACTGCCAGAGGCGGCTCAATAAGTTTGGTGGTCTAAAGCTAAACTTTAATGTGAGACCCTTTTTAAAAAATAAAATAAAAAATCCTATATATAGTTGAAGTAGATTTTTTCAGCTTTTTTAGAATAAAATTACTTAAAATTTTTCGTATAAACCATTTAATCTCTCATGTGCAGTATTGATCTTAAATAATAGAACCTGAGTCAAGAAGTTGATAACTTTGTATTAAAAGAATTATTTGATGTTTTAGTATACTTGTTGCAATGATGAAAACCTGAGGAAAAAAAATAGAGTTTAAAAGTGCATTACATATTTTCTAATGATTAATGTAATCCTTCTTTTATATAAAACATTTTACTTTTCTACTTTGAAATATTTAATATTTTCTTAAAAAGATTTGGGGCCTCACGAGAAGAGTAGCGGTGAGATGGATAACATATCTCCTTCTTTAACCGGAAGTATTCGGTTTCAGTGTTTGGAATGAAAAAAAAGTCTCTTTTAAGGTATAATTCCCATTTTAATGGACTTTATATGTTACGAATTCGAATTAATAAATGCCTCAAATTAAATACCGGACATCAAATAAAAATTAAAAAACAAAAATTGTGGCCCCCAAAATTCTGGGGCCTAAAGCCACCGCTTTAGTGGCTTTACCCTCTGGCTGCCCCTATTTACTGCAGGTTGAGTTGTTTTTTTGTCATAGAATTCTAACCAATTAATTCTATATAACTATTTATCTTAGTAATAAAATAGAGAAATATTAAGTAAAAAATTATAACTAATAAAGTCGATAATATTGGTCGGACTCCTTTAATTTTCTTATTCTTAGTTATAGATTTATAACCATTCATGAAATTAAAATTAATCAATTATATATGCAATTTAACTATCGCACTTAATAAAAAAAAGTAGAGAAATATTTTTCGTAAAAATTATATTTGATTTTTTAAGTATACAATAGTATGTCCATTTAAAATTTATTACCAAAATATAAATACGCATTCTAATAAATATTATAATTAGATATAAATTATCCCAATATTCATAACTATTATACCTTTTTAACTCAACATCAAACTTTAGAAATGTTTTTAAATGACACTTAACAATTGCACGTCAAGTATACATAGTTTAACAATATATATATATATATAATTTATACTTATTGATATGGGATACACGCGCAAAGCGCATACTCTAAATCTAGCCTATCTTAAAATTTTAAGTATGTCTTTTTAGCAGTATCCTATTCGATGAACCTCAATGTATCCTAATAAAAATATGTTGACTAGATTAATTTGAATTCATGTCGCATAAGATCCTTTAAAAGAAAAACCCTCCATTATCAAAGAATTCTTCATTTTTAGGACGTGAACCTAAAGCCTTTAAGGATGAATATATCTCATGCCTACCCCAATCCTTGATAGTGTTAGTCTTCTACCAATTGCATCATATGCGCAAATTATTAAAAGTGAAAAAGGGAGAAAAGATGAGTATGAAGAACAATTTAACTCAAAATAGGCAGAGGTCTCTGTTTTAAAAGGCGGGAGCGTGAAGTGTGGCGTTTTACCTGATATGGGATGAAAGATAAGTCTCGATACATAGAACGTAAGCCCCACAAATCTTATTTTTTAATTTATAAATTAATAATATAATATAATTACATAAAAAAATAAAAAAACATTAAAAGTTTATGAAAATTAAAAAGCATTAATGAAACACGTAATAAATAAAATATCTATCATATTTTTATAAGTATAAACAATGCAATAGTGGTAAAGTTACCATGAAATATAAATCAAATATGACGTCTTAACTTTTAAAAGTAAATAAAAGTCATAACTTTTAATGAAAATTAAAAGTCATAACTTCTTAAAAATACTATCAAACTATATTTTTTACCTCCTTAAAAAGTAAATAATCAATAAGGTTCATCAGTACTAATATAATTCATAAATTTATTTTTAAATAGGAAAATAATAAAACTTCCATAATTTTGAAAAACATAAAACTAAGATACGAATATCTAGGAGGTAAAAATATAAAGTTTGGCTATTTGTATTAGAAAAAAAATTCAAATAATAGTCACCATCACAATATTCTCAATTAGCAAATATGCGATACTATAGCTTGTAAATTGAATTACTTTCACTCTACATATTATTATAGATCAATAATACTTTAAACATTATTTGTTAAATAAATTTAAGGGGCAATAATGCTAATAATGCTAATAAGCTAACAAGTGAGGCTTGCTCAGTTGGTAAAAGCACCTCCACCTACGATCGTTAGGTCTTGGGTTCGAGTCACTATGGAGGGGAAGTGTGGAAACACTATAGATCCTCCTAATTTGGGAGGGGTTTAAAAAAAAAAATTATGATTTGCATAGAAATTATTGGCAAGTCCTGAGTGTCGAGTGCTAGGTATGTTTGTGACGCACAATCGAACGCTTGGGGGCATATATGTTAGCCTTAAGGCATTTCGATTGTACCACACTCGGAGACGAGACTCGAGGCAAGTTCCAAAAAAGCCTTTTAAAACATTGGTCTCAAGTTAAAGCATCGAGTAAATTCAAACTAATCCAAAAAGAAAAATAAGCAAAACGAAAAGCAAATTCTCCTCCTCAATTTTCATCGCCTTCTTTACGTGTCTTCATCACACGTGCTCTCTCATTCCATATCCTTTTGCTTCTCACATTTTTGCTTCTTAATTCACCTACGAAGATTCCGATTCAGATTCCGGTCAATTCTCGCCGGTAAATATCTCAGACACCGGCGAATTTTATCTTCCCTCGATCGCAATGAATCCCGAGTAGTAAGTTCCATTTATCCTCTTCCTTATCCTTATTCTTTGAATATCGCATTATTGTTAAAGCATTGAATAAATTTCATTTTGTTTCTTTATCATATAACGTTCAGTGTCGAATTGTAGATTCTGTGCTTGAATTTAAGATAGGATCCTTATGTATTTAATATTAGCGAAATTTGTGAACCCTCAGTCATTAAAATCACAATTAGCAGCTAACTTTTAGGATTATCTCTTGATTTTCCATTCAACTTTACATCCGTTAATATCCGTGTTTTTGCACTATCATAAAATGACTAAATAAATCCCCTGATAAACTTGGTGCACAAGGATGGTGGTTGAACATTATAATATAAAATTTTTAGAGGATGATCTATGAGAAAATCCATGTATCTTTCATAGGTATATGACTAACAATTACTACACCTTAATCCCAAGTTAGTTAGGATCCGCTGTATCGCGCAGGCGAATCGAGGATTTGAAATTTATGGGTTCCTACAACGATCTCAAGTTGATATAGAATCATAATTGGGTTCACAAATAAATATTTATAGATATCTAGTGGATTCTTAATATATATAAGGTTTGTGCAAAAGCTACTAGGTTCAGGTGAACCTACATATTGTATTGCAGATCTGCCCCCCGACTTTATGAATCCTGAATATCATAAATGCTATATTTGGATCCATGATGTTTTAATACTCATACTTAAGGATTATCTAACACTAGGAATTGTCTAGTATACTCTAGTGGTTATATCTCTAGTATACTAAGAGTCTTATGGTAAACATAGTCTTCTAGTTTTTTTCATCTATACAGATTTTTGAACATCCATTGTTGTTTATCTTTTGTTGATTTACCTGATTGCTAGATGTTTTAGATTTTTTAAGATAACTTCTTTCCATGTGAATTTAGGTCTACCTCTTCTTCTTTTAACATCATCAATCTTCATATTTTCACATTTAAGAATCGTTGCATATGGAGGCCTAGGTAACACGTTGACAAATCATCTCAAGCGACATTTTCTTATTTTATCCTCTATATGTGCTACTTGACCTTCTATGGATGTAATTATTTATGATCTTATCTAATCTTATATGACCACACATCCGTCTTAATATTCGCATCTCAACGACACTCATCCGGTGGATATGTTGAGATTTAGAGGCCCAACATTTTCTTCGAGAGAGCATTGCTGGCCTTACAAATGTTCTATAGAATTTGTCTTTCACTTTGGTTGGCATCTTCCTATCACATGATACCCTGTGGCACTCCTCCATTTCTACCATTCTACTTTTATCCTATGCGTAACATCTTCATCTATCATTCCATTCTCCTAGAATATAAAGCCTATATATCTAAAATGTCTACATTTAGGTACCTCACTTCCATCTAATCTCATGTTAACTTTGTTCCTATCTCACTAGCTAAACTTGCCGTGCATGTACTCTGCCTTAGTCCTACTTATCCTAAGTAACTTGCTGTCTGTAGTGCTTCTCCATAACACGAGGTTTGAGACTTAGTTAGGCAGAGTCATAGACTTTGATTCTTACCTCGAAATTGGCTGAAATTGTTTCCATGATATTTTCTCAGATAAATGATAATTTCTGAGTTGTTGTCTTTGGAGAAGGGGGTAAAGTGATTTAAGTGGGAACTAGTTTGATCTTAGTTCTTGACCCTAGTTCAGCAAAGTTTAGTTAAACTTGGATGATGTGTCACCTAACATAGCCTCAAAATGTATCAGGTGCACTCCAGGGATGAGTAGGAATGAACTAGACTCAATTTTGCCCTGACCCAAATTTAACATATGCCAGAGTTAGTGCGTGATATTTTGGGTGTTATTTATACGTGTTAACTTTGCATGATTAAACATGATAGCATAAGATAGGAATGGATATTGAGGATGCCTATACCCATCTGCGGCTAGTGTGGGATTGAGGTGTAGTTGTTTTAGGTTACTATACCCTATCAAATAGGATAAAATCCTTAAATGTTCTCTTTCTAATCCCAGTTATCTTAGTAGTCACATATAACCATACTACATGCTATAACAGTGCAAATTATCTTTTAAAAGGAGTAATAGGATTAAAATGAAAAGTTAATCAAAATAAGTAGCGCAATATATTATAGAGACCCTTACTTTAAGTACCTAGCAAGCTAATAAACTGTACGATGGTTGCATTTGCTGTTCTTTCCATGCAGTGACTACCTCTTTAAGCTTTTGCTCATTGGTGATTCTGGCGTTGGGAAATCATGTCTTCTTCTGAGGTTTGCCGTAAGTTTTTTTATCATGAAATTAGCTGTACTACTCTAGTATCTCTCTTTCTTTCTTTATAAAACATAAATGCTGATTTCTTCTGATAAGAAATCAAATGGAGGACCGAAACCATAGGGAGCATGTTGGCCATACGCACCACCTTTCCATTTTGTGTTCTTTTTAATTTCCTTCTCCGTTAGCTTTAATCAGTTATTTATGAGCACATTTGTCAAAGGCCAAAGAGCATATAAAAGTGCCAAAACCTGTTGGGGCTTCTAGCACAAAGCTCATTAGAATGTGGGTTTTTCCGTAGAAAGGCACAAAGGAAAAAGTAAATAAATAAATAAATAAGGCTGTAATGCAAGAAAAGATAATTATGAAGAAACATCAATTATATGGACGTAGTAATTGGAAAAACTATAGTTGAGTGAAATATGTGAATTCAAATTTATGCAAATTAAGTAAAAGAACCATTTTAAATTTCTGATCCTGATGTAAATATTTAGTTTTAACTCTCCAAATCGGGTGAAGGAATAGTTTTTTTATACATGGAAAGTTAATTTCTCGTTTTTAGGTGTAATTTCTTTTGTCTAATTTGATACATCACTTTCCCTTCTATGTTTATACTTTATCGTTGCCCTCTTGATGATAGAGCTCATGGATGATGAGGCTTCATTACACGCTTTAGCACCTTGGAGTCACATAAGCAAGGAGAAGCGCTCAACTTGCGCTATACTTAGCTTCAACGCTTAAACACACTTTAGCCGAGCCTTTTACAACACCGATGAGCTATTGACTAACACTATTGCTTTAGCACTTCCCTATTCTTTTGCTTTGGCAAGTTTCTTGTTGATCTACTTTATCCACACAAATAAAAAAGTTTTCTTATTGATTATCTTTTTGACTAGGAGAGAAAATCAATAACTGTAAACCTTTTGGGGTTGTTCTGCAACTGTGCTGCTGTTATTCCATCTTCCAGTGGCCAATACTTCCAAACTTGGCAGGATTCTTTCTGCGTTGCATCTCCTTGAAAATCCTGACTACTTCATCTAATTTTCATGCATATTTTTTATTACTACAAATCTCCTTAGAACTCTTGTAGAGTTATTATAGTCTGTAGGCGTTCACCTTGATCCATCTTGCGGTATTATGATCATTCTTGTTTACTTTGGTAAACTACTTCTGGCATCAACGTTGTCCCTTCTTCCTAAAGCACTAATTTGATACACTCTTCTAGTTTCATGTTCGGACTGTAAACCTCTGAATAATTGATGATGCATCTTTCTGCTTATGGAGCTTCATTGTTAGAGACTTTTTAAGAATGAAATTTTGTTCTTGGATATTCTCGCCTTGCACTGAAAAAGTTACCAGAATATAGGTTAATGTGGTTCAAGTTATCTTCTGCAAATGGCACTGACTGTTTGTCTTTGTACTGCCATCAGGACGACACATACCTGGAAAGTTACATAAGCACTATTGGAGTTGATTTTGTAAGTAAATACCATTGTAGTTGATGAGCTACTTCATTTATGTATAGTTGGAGTCTTCTGTGATGTTATTCTTCCATCACATTCTTAAATACATGTAATTACTCATTTTACCAAATCTTTTCATGTAGAAAATCCGGACAGTAGAGCAAGATGGGAAGACTATAAAACTTCAGATTGTAAGACTTCACTTGCATTTCTGTTTAAATTCTTTTATGTTGCTGATTTTCTTTGAGTCAAATTCTTAACTGGAATAATGATCCAAGTTTTTTTTTTTCTAAATTGACACCACATAGTGGGATACAGCTGGACAAGAACGCTTTAGGACCATCACTAGCAGCTATTATCGTGGTGCCCATGGCATAATAGTAAGTGTTTTCCCTTAAAGTTTGTCATCAATTGTTATTTGTATCTTTTGATGTTTCTCAATGGCCTCTTGGGTAGGTTGTGTATGATGTGACAGATCAAGAGAGCTTCAATAATGTAAAACAGTGGCTGAGTGAAATTGATCGTTATGCTAGTGACAACGTTAACAAAATTCTTGTCGGGAACAAGTCTGACCTTACTGCAAATAGAGTTGTCTCATATGAAACAGCTAAGGTAAATCCATTTTCCACCATATATTTAATTATTTGCTCCAAAATTCAAACTATACTGATTGACCTCTTTGTTCTTAGGCATTTGCTGATGAAATAGGTATTCCATTCTTGGAGACCAGTGCTAAAGATGCTACGAATGTAGAACAGGCTTTCATGGCTATGACTTCTGCTATCAAAAATAGGTAAACACGTACTCATTCAGATGGCAGTAAAATTTTAATAACCTCTTGTAGCCTTCGTAAGTTGCTCAAGCCTGATCTGTGGTGCTATTTAGGTGCTTTGCGTTTTCTATCATCTAATGCCTTCACATAAATTCTGAAGGATGGAGTAACAAATATATAGAAGTAAAACTAGTAATTCTTTTATAAGACTAGTTATTAAACTAAAACTTGGAACGATTAGGTACAAATTGCTGATAGTAACTAAAATATTGGAGGCCTTAATTGTAGCTTGACTCACAAACTTGTTGAACTGCTTGAGAAATTAAGAGTTGAAAGATTGAAAATTCAGAGTTTAAGCAAATATTAAGAGAGTTAAGAAAGTTGTGAGCTTCTTTTTTTTGTTGTGTGTGTGTTCGG